GCATATCGGTCGAATAAGGCTGTTGCAACGCGGCGATCCCTTTAGAGGCCTAACACTGGGACACGCTGCGGGCGGTGTGACACGGCGCGTTACCGTGGTGCAGGAACCAGTTACGAGTGATTTCTGAATGCACGCTGTTGACTCATTTTCCCAATCTTTCGAGTACTTGGCGATAGTAAATTTAATTTACGGTTTGCCCCGGTGGAAGAAATTCTTTGTGGACGATTCCACGGCTATCAAAAACGGATATAATCATCGTTTTCCCCTTAGACTTGCTCATGTCAGCTTTTTTCGGGCGGGGTGTGTGCGGAGACTGGTTCTCATCGCCTGTAGTAACTCGATCAAGCAGCGTGGGATCGTTTTCCACTTGTTCCAAAAAGTTTATCGCGACGCGTTGCTCTTGATTTCATTTTTCAGATTGTATTGGCGTGCACCACGAACACACATTTACCGAACACGGCACAGCAGGCGAACTAAAAAAGATAGAGCGATGGCAAATAAATCAGTGGAGAGGAGAAGGAAGCCGAAAGAAGAGAAAGGGAAGGGTTCAAGGTCGCAGGGTTACCCCAATCGCGGCAATATAATCAGAGTCATTTCTTAATTGTCACTCCTCGTACAATCGGAGGGCTTGAAACTCTCTGTCGAGAGGCGACCGCAATAAAAGAAAATTAATTTTCTATAATTTTGATCTTTAACTCTGGTCTTCAGAACTTCAGAATGGCACCACTAAAAACAACCTTTATGTATGTACATACATATGTCTCGTACTAGATGTGTTTACCAAAGTACACTGCACTTAAGTGATGTAGTTCCGCTGCCCACACACGCGAGCAAACAAACGCCAAAAATACTGATAAACAAGCGCTACAAGCCGTTATTGTTCGAAAAAAAGTGTTAATTGTACAATTAAATTTCAACGATGCCAACAATGGATGGCACAAAAAACCAGCTAAATAACAGTAACAATGAAACTTTTAATCTTCTTCTTCTTACTTGCCTCGTTTACACATCAACGCTGCTAAAACCGAATTTCCCAACAACAAACACACAATGTTAAAAAATAAAAATAAAAATTATTTACTTCATAAATTCATTGAATGACTTTTCGAGAGTTCTTACATACACGTACGTATTCACACACACATCTACATGTACTGAGTAAGTTAAAACGCAGCCACCAACATTGTGAACATTTTTAATTGTAATAGATATCCAGTGGGCGAGCGACACGAACTTTGGCTACGCGTTTGAAATTTGATTTTTCACCCAACATTTTCGACAAGCTAACGGTAACTAGAGTTTACAGTAGAAAAATTGCGTGAAATGATATAAAAAAATTATTTTTATTTTTATTTTTTATTTTTTTTTTTTGTTTTTTTTTTAAATGAGCAAAATTCGAGAACAGAACAAAAGTTTTAAAGAAATATTACCAAATAAAAGTGGAGTGCATATTGGCTGACGGCCGCGACTACTGCGCGCCAAGAGTGTGTAAATACAGTAAATATTTATTTTGAGTGCGAACATTTTTCAGCATGACAGCAACAACAATGTTTGTGCAACATATCGAAAAAAAAACATCTCGACAACTATAATGTCCGCGCGCTTGTTTGTGTGTGTATATTTGTGGGTGTGTTAGTGTGGCATCAAGCGTTTGTAAAATTCCGCGATTTTATCGTTGGCATATTTTGTAAATTATAATAATTTTTTATACGCCTTTTTTCTTTTAATTCACACGCTTGATTTGTGCCACGTAATGTTGCATATCAGATGACTGACATATTTTACGCTTGCTACATGTTGTCGTAGTGCTGTTAGCCGACGTGTTCCGTTGAAAAGTTGCGGTTAAATATTTGAAATGAGTCAAGTTTATTTTAGTTTCAGAAATTTCGAATTTAATTTTTAAAGCGAACTTGCCTCAAGTTGTTATTTACTAGATTTTTTGGGTATAAAAGAGGGTTTTTTAGCGTCTAAAATAAATAAATCGTATATCTGTGGTACCATCCAAAATCCTCTATAAAGAGCTACTCTGCATGAGACCTCGTTTAGTATATGGCGACTGAGTGACATCCAACCCGATTCCGGTGGAGCTATTAGTGTTGCTCGGCGTGAGTTGGTACAGTCGCTTTAGTTTCATGAAGGGCACCAAAGTTCAGTTATAGCGACGTGGTAGCATTTCCTTTTCGTGCTAGCGAACCCTACTGAACAAAGAATAGTCGTGTGTTCTTTTTTTCAAAATTTGACAATGATGGATTTGCCGGTCCTGAAGACACACTAGGAGAGTTCAATCAGCTCAGTAGATAGCCATACGCAGGATGTCAGCTGTGGTCGAATTATGTATAGAAGTTATTCAAGTACTGTCTGGAAACAGAAGAGTGTACACAGTCCACACAATCATTGAAGGTAATGAGATAGCAGACGAACTTGCTAAGGAACGTGCCTATTTAGAATAAGACGCAGCAGCGAACCCGCCAGTTTCTATAAAAAATAAGTTAAACTTTATAATTGCGGTCGCCAAGGAATGTCAACCCATCAGAGTGTATTTCTGACATAAAATGAAGCTCCTCATAAAAAAACCGTACGCCGTTCGGAGGCGGCTTAGTATAAACTCTAGGACTCTCCATTTGTTGGAAAAACATCAATACACAAAATCAAACAATACTAAACTCACAAGGTTTATACTATCTGTATAGGGGCAGCTCTCCAGGCTGCTAATAGGATTATAAACATAATATTGCCTTTCGGCGTCTCATATGTTTTATATAGATCTGACTGGGGACAAACAAGTGTAGGAAATGCAAGGAGTGTGTGGAGACGATGGAGTACATATTCTGTGAATGTCCGGCATTCTGTAGACAAAGGCCATGCACCATTGACTCAAAGTTAAGGGGCCAGAACGATTACTTAAGATCGCCGAAAGAACAATAGGAGTACAGCTTTGTCGCTGGTAGTCTACATATGGACGCATTTCATCTATGTGAGAACCAATGAATGAGCCAATTTAACCTAGTCGAGTGCTTAGTACTATACGGAAGGCCAGAGCTCGAGTACTGATCAGGCCAACATCTAAAATTATCATTTCACGTACATGAATTGGTATATGAACTTCGATGCGTAGTACGTATGTAAGTACCAGAAGGAGAAGAGAAAGACCCATCATAATTTATAGCGTTCGAGTTATAATGACAAGTTGAGGTGGTTTGCCAACTAGTCACTTGGCTTTGGCTAAATGGTAAATTTAAACGATAATTTTTCGGAATCAGCCAGATCGAATCGATATAGCATATACAAAAGGATTTTTTTCACGTTGAGGTTTTGGGTAATAAAACTGTCAAAACAATCTGAGAGTGTCAAATATTATATTCTGCATAAGTTTAGACAAATAAACAAGCCAAAAATCATCCAAATCGGTGAAATCAAATCCCGTCCAATCAATTTTTTAGATGGGAGAATTAATATTCAATCAAATACCAGAAGTCATGAAAGCTATAAAGACTTTGGCGTGGCTCAAGACAGTTCTTATTTCTGCAGGCACTCCTCATTGTGTTCTTGAGGGGAAAAATTGCTTTTCGGATTTCTTCATAATCGTGGAACGTCTGTTCTATAGTCATTATTTGGGATGTCAAATTTTCACTGCCTCAATGAATTTCGAATATTCTGGATATGAGTAGCCGCCTCAGCTCCTGAGTATCTACCTGAGTATGCGCCGGTATGGAAACATACCTAAAAAAAGCCACATATTTTTTGCGAAAAATTTTGTTCTTACTTCAAACAAGCCAGCATTTCGATCTCTTGCTTTCTCTGTCTATAAAAGCTTTTCACTTTCCTTTTCAACTCACTTTACAACTCTTATCCAGCACACATTGCAGGGCAGTACGTATGTCTTTGTATACACTTTGGCTTGATAATTTTCATTGTCCCAGCTCATCTTTTCCACATGTCGAAACCAATAGTTCTGTTGGCGAAAGTACGTCGGAAACTTGAAATGCCGTCCCACAGTTCTCTGATAGAAAGCAAGAATGGAAGTTAAACAGAAAGGCCGTCGGCTATCTGTTATCATTGCCGCTCTTCAATGTATTTAAAACACTGGATTCTTGGCTTTCCTCTAAATCGAAATTATCAACAATGTGGTCCTGTTTGTCAAAGCTGCCCAGCTCGCTGTGCTTCCCTCAGACGGTCTAAAAGCTGACAGTAGAGGTCCGTATTAAGAATTTAGACATTGTAGAGCAGCTGATCTTGAATGCTTCCATGTCAAACCCACCAGACACACAATAAAATCTTCCTGGCCGTCAATCTCTTGACTTGGCGACCGTTTGTGCCGTCTCACTGCCCTTCGACCGCGACTGAAAAGTGGCTCCATTCAAATTGAACGATTGAAATTTCATGCAAACAATTCGTAATGAATTTTAATAGTTTTCAATATTTAAATTTTTCCTCAAGTGCATAGAAAAGTTGTGGTTTTTTTATTGATTAAATAATCAAAAATATTGCCACTTAACAGCACATGAAAAACTCGAAAACAAACAACAATAACTCATCAAACCAACAAGCAACAGTCGGAGCATTCATTCGTCATGTGAGCAAATGATATTGGAAATTAATTGCAAAATCAAATTGAAAAATTACATTTCAACAAGGTAAACAGCAACAAAAACAACTAAATAACAACAACAACAAAAACAACAACAACAACAAAAACAGTGGCGTCAAACCACAGTCGAACTTAATTGAAATTTTTTTCGCTCCCAAAAGCAAAAGCAAACAAAAAAACGACAACGAGAATAAAAGTGTAAAACAAAATTGCGAACCGCAATGACTTTGACAGGACGTGCAACACCCAACAATTCGCCTGGGTACGCATTTAGCCGCCGGCGAAGTGGAATTATGCCATTTGTAGCTGTCATTGGCGCGTTGATGTTGGTGCTGTTGCTTGGTAGCGCCGTTGTTATGTTGATGAAATACAACAACAACAACAACAACAACAGCAACAGCAGCAGCAGCATAAGTAAGGTAAATTTGGAAAATAACAGTCAACTGGTTAGTACCGTTGAAATAATGCTGTTAACGAACGAATTTGCAACAATGATTAACGCGGACAACGACCATCAAATTATTAAAAATAATAGCAATAACAACGGCAGCACCAACAACAGGCTCGCCGACCTACAAAGCCAAATTCATAGCCAAACGCAGCAGCATATTTATAAAGTTAAATCCAATGCTGAAATTACTCATAACAACATTACCGCTATTCATAGCAATAAAAATGATTTGCCACCCGCATCTGCTAGGTCACCGGCACAGCGTAAACGGCTGCATGATGATGGAATTAATATAAGCAATCAACGCTACGAGCTTAACGAACGTCCACCGGCAGCTAAGGCTGCCACAGTTGCTACATCAGCGGTGAATAATTCAGTTTCTACAATGTACGGCATCCCGGCGGCATTGTTGGACTTGGACCGTCAAGGCGATGACGTGGTGTATAAACTTTCACGGCAACAACAAGAAGAAAATGAAGCAAAAATAGCGTACAAAAAAACGCCAGCAAATACGGAATTGCTTTTACATCGCCAAAAGCGTTATTTGGTTTTTCCGGAAGGCAGCTCATTTCAAATGGGTGAGTATAAGTGGGAGATTTAGAACTCAAAGCCGATTGGCTACTTTTTCGAAACTTCTTTTCAAAAGTTTTGTTCTGTTCCTCTTTAGACCCCACATCCAAAGAGTGGAAATTTTTAAAATGCATTTTCCGAGAATCTCCAAGCATGAAGTATTATTGGAATTTGGGTGTACTAGAGAAATTTCGCTCAGTTTACATTTTCAGGCATTACGTCTTCAAGCGTCGCCAAAAATTGTAGGAAGCTTCCAGGCTCGCTAGCAGGTCAACTCGAGATCTCTTTAATCTAGGTTCCTACAAAAAATAACATTTTCGATTATGAAAAACCTGACGAATTGGACGGCAACATCTCTGGACGAATCCAAAGCGAAATTAACACCAGGATCGGCAGAGAGCTTCACTTACAATTCGTCTGATCTCACTGATAGGGTTATACAGTTGGGACTTTAGCAACCACTGAAGCGATTTTCGGCCGAGCCCTTCCTCCAATTTGAGGTTTTGAGTCTTGATATTTTTTTCCAACAAATGGAGGGACCTACAGTTTATTGTAGCCAGCTTCAGTATGACATTTTCTATAGACAGAGGTACGCCCGCAAAGGTACTTAGAATGTATTTCAATTAGATTGCTACTCCCCGCTCGCTAGCTCATTCGCCGCACAGTTATCAGGGGCGTTCCTAACGGCATTTTAGACGCGTGCATATTTTGAATTAGAGCTTTAGCTGTAGAGCATGCAAAGCTGACAGATTTTGCGGGGATACTAACTTCGGACATAGGAGAGTAGATGCAGGCATTTTCCGTGCTATCGAGAGCACTTTGAAATCGGTCAAGAGCTTGTGTATATCGATTTTTTGTTCATGGGTGCAAGATTTAAAGCCACTGGTAAGGTTCCATCAGTTCGCTGACTTTGCCACGATAATTGCTGCAGATTGTAGTATCCACCTTTGAAAGAGTACTTTTTAGCTTCAATACTTAGACATACGTCTGACCATATTCTGCAGAAAAGCGGATGGCTCTTGTCAACGGATAGGTCAGCTGGTAAGACACGTCTTTCGGTCGTTTTCGGTGTTCTTCAGGCGAGCAGCTGCTATTCCAACTTCATTAGAGTCAAGTAAAGGAACGTCATCGATTGGGAAATCAGGAATGACATTTGAAAGGTGTTTTTTCCATAATATAGTCCGTGGCATGAGTCACTGGAGCACCTCTTTGTGTGCTACAAGAATTTACTTAACTCTTGAAACTTTATTTTTTCATAGAAGTTTTATGCGGGTTGATCCTCTTTCAAGCTCTCCATACTCTCGAATTTTAGTCTGTAGCTTTTTCTGCCAGCAAATTCATCTCGCTTCTCTCTGCCACTCTCGGTGTCCCATCGCAAAGTTGCGAACCTTTTACCGAGTTGTATATTAGTTCTCTCAGAAAAGAGGATGCAAGTCGAATAGAGAACTTATTGATTATCTATTGTGGATCCGCTCCTCACTGATATTGAAAATAATTACTTGCTTTAATTCAGCTGAAGGTGAACAGCCTTTTAACAATTGAAATCTGCCTCAGGTTTTAATCCTGACACTCTTCCATCACTAATCCTAACTTACTCGTGGTACATATGTGTCCTTTCCCCCTACTTTGCTCAGTCTTCTTCTCTTGTTTCGCCAACGTCAATCTCTGCACTCTCTAAATATTTTCTATTACAGTGTTCGATCTCATCATCGGCGTAGTGGACTACACGAGTTACGCCATTTTGGGCATCACATGTGCCGTCGCCTGGGAATTACCGAGTAAACCGCCCAGTGAGTTAATCGAAAATTTACATGAGAAAGTAACCGAAGGCATTTACCAAACAAGTGCAACAAAAACAACTACCACTGCTACAGCGACTGCGGCAATGCGGCGCAATGATAGCATAACGGCAACGGCTGGCGGCGATGGCGGCGGCGACAACAGTAAATATGGCATAGACAGCGCCAGCATCACGTATGTTGATAATGCAAATGTGGCAGCGCAGTTTGGCAGCAACTACCGGGCAGATGCGCTACATATGAAAGTCGAGACAGCGCAACTGCCGTCACCTATAAATACGCTTGAATCGCCCTACTACACCAAAGCGAATCCATTCATGGCGCCCCCTGCCGGTTATAGTGGTTATCGTAAGGGGACAGAGGAGTGGAGTACCCATGACAGCACCGCCTATGGTGCTTATCGACCGACTAACTATTACACTAACATACCACATGGCAATTACAACAACAATAATATGGACAACAACTTATATGGCAGGGTGACGCACAAATATGGTTTTGCTGATAAAAATGAAAAGTCCAGTTACTACGATGTCAGCAACAGTTATGGCATAAACAACAACAACAGCAACAACAACAACAACCGCGACAAAAGGCCTTTCGGCGATTCAAGAGATAAACTGCCAGTGAAATTTGCCAATCGGTGGCAGCAACAGCAACAGTCACCGTATAAAAAGTGGCAATCATGGCGGGATTATGACAGCAAGTCATGGCATTCATATCAGCAACCACAGCAGCAGCAGCAGCAGCAGCAGAAGCAAGCTACGAAATGGGCACATCAACCACAAAAGCAACAAATATGGTCAGCTCAAACGAAATACGTAGGGAAGGACAATTGGTGGTCGAGCAACAACAAGCACTATGCTACGGACAATTGGCGCACAAAACCAGAAGATTGGCAAGCGAACAATGTGCGGTGAGTAAAAGGATAAAGTCAAGTATGTAGGAAAACTAATTAGTCTTTGGTTTAGTTGGTTTTTATTTGAAAAATAGTATAGGTTTGTATGGGGTAAATTGAAAGGCCGTTTAACCGATTGGGAGTATGGCACTAGGAACTGCGTAAACTGAAACTCACTGAAAACGAAAGCCTTTGGGTTTCAAGTATCGAAGGACATGTTGAGAGACTGCTTCTTTTTTTGACTGCCTTCTTCTCTCGATTATAAGATCTAAGCCTGTATTCTAGTCATTTCTGCTCTTCGGAGTTCGCCGCTAGGAAGGAAATTCAATTCCTAACTTTTTGAATGGTGTATGCGTTTTTTCTTCGTTGTTGGGAAGTATGACTAAAGGTAAGATTTCAAGGCCGACTTTGCTGCTGGTGTTGTTGCGGGTTCCGCAACACGCCATTTTCACGTGTTCGGAGTTACGAGTATGACTGTTGTGTTGTCTTAGCAGGTGAAGGGATTATAAACACACCCGCGGCAAGGTATGCCTTCGAAGGAGGCAACTTCTATCCACCCACAGTTCTCCAGTGAAGAGCTCTCTGGAAGACTTAAGTCTGATGCCATGTACAAGAGCGTGCACCGATCTGTTCTTGAGATAAACCCTTGGCTGAGTAGTGGTGGTGGTTTAACCGCAAATGTGGGTAGAGATGTCCCAATCTAATTTCAAAATGTAGTGTCATTGCAATCGGGCGTCGAGCACAAATGGTTAGTCCAGTGTATGGGTTTGGTAGGCACGGGCAATTATAACATCTAATGAGACGATATTAGGAGTTTTCGAACCATAGGTTTTCGTTGAGGTTTATGTTCCTCTACGAATTTGTGACATTGACATAGTTCAGCAAATCAAAATGCAGCGGTAACGCTGGCTAGGTCATCTGGTCCTAATGAAGACGAATACTTGAGCGTTGAAAGATTTCGAGGGCGCTCCCCCTGCCCCTGTGGAAGCAGAGGAAGAAAAAGACCTCCACTTCGTTGGAAAGACCAGGTAGTGCAGGACCTGACTGTGCTTGGTGTTTCCAATTGCCGCAAAACAGCGAAAAGAAAGGAAAAAATGAATGGCGCAATGTTGTGAACTCGGCTATAAACACGTAAGCGGCGTTCCAGGAAAGACACTTAAGAAGAAGGTTAGGACGACAACGGCTGGTACTCGCAAGATGTCGTCTTACCTTGCGCGGTTGTAATATATCGATATCATTAGCATTCACCTGTAGTTGTAAACTCTGTTAGACGATTGTAAGGTTCCTCTTTAGCTCTGCTCTATCGAGCATTAGATTGAAAAAAAAAACAATTTAGATTGGCGTCGTATCTGAAACTTCTAAGGATACCGAACGCCTCAAAGAGGTACTTCCAATGGTAACTGAGTTCAGCGTCAGCTCCTTCTCGCGCTTTCTTAAGTAGCTTTAAAATTGATAAAGAACTGATTGTTGTAATCGCTAGTCTAACGATACTCTTACAAGATCCGCTAGTCAGTATCGAATTTACCACGACAATCTTTCACACACGCTAAGTAAGACCCTATATGCTAAATTATGGATAATCGCCACAGTCCTTGTAGCTCATCTTTTTGCACACTTAGATTCCATGCATACGGATTCTCAGTTCTTCGCATATTTGATTAGTTCAGCCATTAAACCTTCGACGGCAGCGATTTTGTTGTTTTCCAAAAGAGCCAAATATTTTTCTTGCAGCCCACTTAATGCGACGAATCTTACCTTTGGAATTGCCGAAAAATCAATTAACTTCCCGCGGTTTTTCCCTTTTTCTAGCAATCATGAGGCACCAATGCAACCTCGACATCCTGTAGTAGCCTATGCACCGCCTAGTGAGACTACACAGGCTACAATCAACTCAAAATCCGATGCATTCGAAGGTCGCAGCTTTGATGAATCCCAACGTAGCGTTCTGACAGCACGGCCCAAAGCCAGAATTTATCCAGTTTTCGGACGGCGGCGACGAAGGCGAAGTAGCGATACTAAATTACACGATTTCGAACATAAGCTAGAGCGTATACACTTGCGTGAACAACTTCGTACACGTCAAAAACTATATGGCAAAATTGAGAAACTCTATGAAACGTGAGTACAGCGAAAAAAAAAATGGCAAAACCAAAAAAATACTATTTTTTTCTCCATAACTTCTTTGCGTACATGACTATTCTATATTGTTGAGCTGTTTTTGTCATGTTTTTGTTTTCATTTTTCATTTTTCGTTTTTCCTTACAGTCGCGGATTGAACGGCACCGCCTGTGTATTGCGTGCGCTCTGCGAAACTGGACAGCAGCATAAGGGGGGTAGAACGGAACCACAAAGTTTCATCACAGAATTATTGCGCGCCATTTTCGTGTTGCCCACAACCAGCCGTAACCACGTAAGCGATACAGTAAGCTTTGAGGAGCCCGCTTTACATCCCACCGATTTGCACATCGTCGATCGACCATACAGGGAGGCGCCGACGCATCATGGCAGCTGCTCGCAACTTTTTTCCATGTGTGAGCATAGCATCTGGGAATGAAGTGGCAGCAGGCAGGCATAATAAATGATGAAAACCAAATATGTTGATGAAAAATTCACAAAACAAAAAATGAAAAATAAAAAAAAATATTTTACCAAACAGCCAAGCTGTAGAGTTTCTTCGACTGGAATTGTTTCGCAACGAGTTTTTGGCGAAACTTTACTTTTTCCTGAATTCCATTTCCGCAATGTGTATTGTAACTTAAAAAAATTAAAAAAAAATACCGTTATATAGATAAATTTACCGTTTTCCTTGTACGGAAAGTACTCGTACACAAAAATTAATAATGAAACTATTAGAAAGGCGTTGGCTAATCTTTCCTCTCATTTTTTGGTATCCACTAACCTTTTTAACTATCGGTATTTCTCCACATTGGAGTCGATCGCAACGTCGCGTGATAGACAATAATTTTTGCTTGTGACGGAGATACCTCTTTCGACGGTCCATCATCAAACAAAAATTTTACAACGTGACGGTGGCCGGTCCCCCTCTGCCGTCAGCATTTGGATATAGTAAAGAACTTCAACTAAGGACTGCATTATTAGAAGGCGTTCATGCAGCCGGGCTAATGTCAGTACTCGTCCGATTCCCATCACAAATTCTGCTCCAAATTTGAATTCCTTTATGTGGCCAAAATAATAAATGTCACAAAAACCTATCACTTTCCTTCCTATCCATCCAATCTTCTATACGGCTGTGATGTTAGCTTCCACTTTTCCGAGTACAACAACGAGCTGGGCAGTGGCACTTTCCCATTTCAGGGACCCAATACTCCAGGTATATGTCATCAAAGCGTAATTCGTAGTATTTTTGCCGCATTTTCTTCATTTTTGCTGGAACTGGTTTCCACTTAGAAGGTCCCAAATTAAGGGCATAATAACAGAAGATGTACAGAGACTCTATTAAGCCTTTTAACCGAATATTGGAGTGGTTCCTAAAAGTTGATTCGCTTTTATTCGCGACCAGGATGCCACTCGGGTTCAAGACATTCGGGGTATCATGACCTTTGCACGTCTTGTCAAACAGTACTTAACGCAACGATGCAAACCGACGAAGGCACAAGTCTACGGTTTTAGGACATACAATTTCAATAATGGCGAACAGTCTCCGGACCATAAATACAATTTGTGCCGATTCCCGTCTGCTCAGCGTATAAGTATTTTTCTATAATATTACCTTCACTGAAATGATTTAATATTCCGGTTAATAATTAATAATGTTTAATCCTTGACCTCACCTCGTGCCTCGCAGCATGGGACTGTCACGATCGGGACTGACGGAACGGCAGCTCCTTTATCGTTTTCAAAGAAAAATGGACCTCATGACGTGCCAAACAGTCAGTTCCAATATCAATGTTTTCTTCTGAACAAACTGGATAACCAAAAACGTGAGTTATTTTGTCCGATAAGGAGCCGGTTTGATGAACTCGCTGCTTCGCTGGCGACGCATCGCAAGAAAACTTTGTTCAGCGGTAAACCACACTTTTGCTTGAATCGGTACGTTAATAAAGAAAACTATTAATATTTGGAGTGATCAAAATTCACATGACATTATAGAGACGCCGCTACTTCTTCAAAAAGTCACTGTCTGCTGTGCTTTAATGGTAGAGGAAATGATCGGTCCTTCAAAAATTAACACGACCATAATATTATAGATAAAGGTGAACTCTGTAAAGCCATGACTAATGACTTTTTCCTGCCACAATTGGAGTATGTTGATAGACTTCGCTGGGGCTCGAAGTAGAGTTGTTCGCTGAATCACTGTGGAAGTTATGACGTCGAAGAGCTGCAATCGCAATAGACAGCCAACAACTCGGTATCAGAGAAATGTGAAACGGATCATTATCTTTTCCTAAGGAGAACATATGATGTGATACGATGAGAATTTCCAAGCCACAGTGTGTAGAAAACAGAGACTGCCAACCTAGCAACATTGCGACTCACGTCCACCGCTAAGCACGCTGTGTGAGAAAAATAGTGAGACGCATTTGTAGTTAGAAAAAGAGAGAATCTGAAATGGGGAAGTATGAAAAGCTGGCTAATAGAAAGAAGTAATGAACTATTTTTGCTTTGAAAAACGTGCGACCATTAAAAGAAAATTTAAATAGAGTATACTCATGCAGATGTTTCTGGCGATTGATATCCAGTTATACGGAATTTATGGACAATGCAATGAGAGTGCGACACCAGGAGCAAGCGAATCCGAAACCTCAATCGATGACGGTGGAACAAACTTTCCATTAGCCGACCTTCTTTGCCCACCCTTGCGTGGAAGTGGCCCAGCATAATTTGACGTCGTGGCGGAGGCAGCGCTCATATGTGGCGCTCCCAAAAGGCATCTTTGGTCAAGTCAATCTTCTCTTCCGTCGGGGCGTGGGCGCAAGTTAACGGCTACGGAGTCCCTCTCCCACCGTGAATCCGACAACAAATTCGTGCTTCTTTATCTGGCAGCTGTAGAAAGTTTCACAAGGACCCATCTTCTTCCATCCTTATCACGTCCAACGCATTTCTTGGACGGCGATGTTGTCAGCCGTTAACTTTATGCGGATATCAATCAGCTGGGCAGCAGTACCTTCGTAATCGTAATCCTTAAAACATTTGCGGAGATCGTCATTAAAAGGTATGTGTCTATCATCCGAGACTATTTTTCATTGGGTTTGCTCGTCTTCAAACGGTTGTTTGTTGGCTATGCAGGAAGTACTTGGTCTAAGGCCGGAAGTCGTGAGCTGCCTGAACGATATCCGAAAGAATCGTTTCTGGCCACGCCCAGATGAATGCCAGTCAAAAACTTTCCTCACTTGCGTGAACTTCTACACATGACCCCATACAACAAGCTTCTCCTCCAATGTTTGGTATGCTTCTAGATGTTTTTCTAACAAATAAAGGGCTCCAGCCTCCGAGCAACTGATGGATTTTCATGATGAGCTTTGGATAATTAGAAAAATTATTGATTTCATGAATTTTCGGACACACATTTTATACTCTTATGTTAGCAGTTTGCTTCAGCACAATCAAAAAAAATTATAATCCAAATATAATCAGTAGATCTGCTATTAAAATGCAATTGTACTTGCACTCTTCAATTTGGTCATTCATAAATAATTTCAACACAAACACAATGCACCACAATAAACTGCCAACACTAGAGATCACTTTGTTGGCCTTTGGCTCAAGTTGTTGACAATAAAACTTGGAGGGACTTGAAGAGCTTTGAATTTCATACCAATTAAAAGCTAATAGAGTAGTTATTAGTAGCAGTAGCAGACAGCCAACAAACAAAACACCTACAAATCTATGCCATCACGTAGATACCAATACATAAGCACCAACACAGACAGACAACAGCAATTCTATCTTCTACATACAGCAAAAACAAAATACAATTGAATTTTATAACCGTGTATCTAAAGATGTGTACGTGTGTATGTGCATTTATTTTGATCGCTCACTCGACATACTCGTACATACATATAATATTATACTACCATCTCTGGCTGCAGCATGCAACAAATAACTGGTCAAGTGACTCACTGACTGACTGACAAGGAATCAATGGCTAAATATCCGAGCTAAAGAGGAGCACGAACACGAAAGAATGGCTAAGCACCATTGTGTAGTGGAAACGTTTAAAAATAATTTCAAGTGCCACCATTGCATGACATACATACATACATACATACATATGTAGACGTGCATTTTTGTTTAGAAAAAGGTTGGTAGCAGAAACTAAAAGAGGGATACGTTTAGAATTTCAACTGCTGCAATCAAAGCATTTTACACAATGGAAGTTAGAATATTGCAATAGGGCATAAATTGTATAACAAACTATGTACCTACATACATACATATATATATGTAATATGTAAATATACAGGTACAGTAGCAGCGCTATCCAACTGTAACTATAAATAAATATCTAAATATTCTAGTTCGTAAAGTCCTTTGAAAACTTCCATCGAAGGCAAGCCCCTAAGAGCATTCTGGCAATGTTAAGTGTATGAGACAAAAATTCTATAAGGTAGTTTCACTTGAATATTTTCCAATTATTTTTGTCGTTATCTTTTAAGGTGCACATCTAGTGTGAAATTTCAAAAAATCGATCTTTCTGCCGTCGCGGCGCTACGTGTCACATATCCTTGCATTCGATCTTTGTCCGAAAATCCCATAACTACCCGAAACGGCGATGTCAACTGATCGCCACGTAGCTCTGATTTTACGCTATGGAACTAATTTTGTACTTATAGCTAAGCTAAGCCTACCATTCAGAGACAATTCATGTCTTGAAAAAGGAAACCGTAGTTGCCATTTGCAGCGACTTGTAGATTTTAATCTTTGTTCGGCGAGAGAGAGATGACTTAAACTTCAATTGCCTTCTCAGGCCAAGAAAGGACTTTTTATCATGAGCGGTTCTGCTTGATGCTAATTTGCTATTTATCATTGTCAACAATAATTTCGAAGCTCAGACGTGATCGCGCTGTCGAATTGTTTGAGTTTAGGAAATATGGCATCTCTCACTCGCGTAGATTTCTCTTTCAGAAAGCAAAACTAACGGTGATGTCATTATAATCGGTATGAGCTTAGATGTGGCGACACAGAGACAGCTCCTTTTCATGTTCCATATTACCGCGGAATTCAAATTATCCGACATGCTCTCATCTAAGCATTTTCACTACACTTCAATTGTTCCCTTCATAAGCTAACTAATTATACACCAGCTGTGCAGTAGAAATATCACTTTCTCTGATAGTGCAACCTCTTGTAAGTCTCCGGTTCTTTTCATAGAATTGCAAACATTACCACAATCGCCCAGCCCTTAAACTTTTCCTTCATATACAAGCATTTCGCCACTCTTTTTTCCTGTGTGCTTCTCTTCTCAACTCTCTGTCTCTCTCCTATTATATTGCACGCGTAATTTCGCTATAAAAATCCTACTGTCGCGAAAACTATTGGATATTACTTATCTCTCACGACAAGTATGTCTTACCAGGGGTAAATTCTTGAGCCGCTTACACTCAGAGTCATCACAATCTCTTTTAAGATACTAAATGAGATACATAATATGAAACCCATCTCGTTTACAGCGCTGAGTAGTGTTTTTACCCCATCGATGTACAGTTTGGGGAACACTGCCTGCTACATGCAACAGAGGATGCCACAAATTTAGTAAACTTCAACTAAAATTA